CCAATAAACCCATTTCTAATGACTCTCTGCTGCCTGTCTTCCAAAAAGCTTAGATACCAGTTAACTATAAAAGGATTTAGGGGGAGTTGCTTCAATTTGTGTGAGAGGAGATCGTGTTTCACACTATCAAAAGCCTTGCTGAAATCCATAGCGAATAGGCGTACCGCTTTGCACTCTGGGATATCAAGATATTGATTGACAGTATGTTGGATAGTCAGTAGAGCATTGGTACAGCTCCCTCCCTCTATGTATGCAAACTGTGAGATCCCAGAATGTTCATCGAAGGTCTCCCTTGCGTGTGTTCCTAAGACAGCTTTCTCAAAGCACCTTGCGATGACAGGTGTCACATTTATTCCGCGAAAGTCTGATACACACGACCAGATGACCGCGAATTAGTGGGGCCCACCAAACGAACTGTTTTCAATGTGATTATATGGATAAAGTTTAGCTAGATATATGTGGTGAGCATATGTTTAATTAACTGATTTGATACTTAGCCAAAATATAGACCTTGTAATAATTGTAATTGCATTTGACCTGATTGATCGATGGAATATGATGAAAATAGGAACTGAGCAACAACGGGAAGGCTCTTTTAGGAAAGGCGCAGTAAAAAACTGATGTATTTGAAATCGTTTCGCATGCCTTGTGTGGTAGGAAAAGTGAAGAAAAAGGTTTGTATTTTTTAAATTATATACGCTGTAGGAGTATCGCTGCCTTACCTGCAGTTCGACAAACTACTCCAGCGTCTGCAGTATGCCCACAGTTGTGGGCTTGCCATCCTCTCCGTACTGGAGAGGCTACCGTATTATACTGGATAATGTGGTTGATACTGCCATATACTGCTTAAAATGACTAGGGAGATTAAAGTGTCTAGAAACTGGTTCGGATGCTCCATACATCATTTTCTACGTCGCGAAGGTGTTTTCGGAATCGTTCATTTACTTGATTTTCGTGTGAAATCTTTAAATTCCAAAATCAAAATTTAAAAAGAGCCATGAAAATTTTTATCCTCATCAGGCATAAGGGTTCTTAATTGATATTTGTTTTCAAATTTTCAGCTTAGTAACGTGTTAGAAAAAGAACACGTTTGTTGTTTAGTTTAGATAATCAGTGGGCTAGATAGCCAAAGTAAGTTCCAAATATTTTACACTACTTTCCGGCCTCCATGTTGGTGGACCGAAGATATCCACTAACATGGCGGCTCCATACTGGGCTCTTTAAAAATACGCAAAACATTTGGACGAATATCTTAACTTTGGGAAAACAAAGAGACCTAAAACTTTGAGAAGTATTTCGTTAACCTATCTCCTATAACACTGCAATTTCTTCTTCGATAAATGAAGAAAGGAGGCAAGTGTCTTAAGACACCATCTTGCTGCGTCGGCAAGGGGTTGGGAAGGTCACCTCCCACCGTAGCATCACAGTTTCTTTAGAAACTTTCTCCCTTTATTTATTACGATTACTGATCATTTCACGTGCTCTTCCACCAATGTCATCTATGGCCTGACTTGCACTTATTGGAAAAAGGTATACATTGGCGAAACAGGAGGACTGGGTGACCTACTCCGAGAACACCTTTGTGACGTAGAAAGATTGCCAAAGACGCGTCTAATCGAGTAGATAGAGGCTTAAATCTCCATAATCATTCTAAGCAGCATATGGCAGCATGCATGCATTCAGTCTTTCCTAATATTTAGGTAGTTCGGAAAGTCGCAAAACTAAAAAAAAAGTACATCTTTCCCATCGGCACTCTTGGTGTCAACAAACGCTTCTCTAACTTATTCTCGTTACCATGTTCCCACCATTAGCGTAGATCCATTTTCTGCATAGAAAGACACACTCGCAACCCCCAGTTCCTCCCTTCGTTCTGACGAAGGGCTAACGTTCGAAACGTCAGCTTTTAAAACGTGATTTACAATGGCCAATTTACATTATCAGCTCAGTAGATAAAACCAAATTACCTTGTTATACTCCCCCACCCGCGCAGCACCACAGTTTCTTCAGAAACTTAACCCCCTTTATTATTGTAAAACTGTAGGACATCCTAGGTAAAGATGGTAATAAAGAGTACTTGTATCGTTACTCTACCTTTGGGTCGACACACCACCCCAGCGTCTTCATAATGCCCACAGTCCTCAACTCCCCATTCTCCGTGGTTGCATTGATATTGATGTCTCATTACCTACACATCGCACCTGAACCAGCCATATCGGACCAGTTCCTTGTCCAAACAGAGCAAAACCAGGTACTAATAAGGCTCCATCGTATCCAAGCTGGCGACAAACCACATCAGCGTCCTGTAAGTCCCCCGAGTCGTCGGAAATTGTTCCCCATGTACCCCTGTACAGCACTTCAACGCGACCAGAAGACGACAAATTGTTGGAATTCAATAAACGAATAACTTTTTTCTTGTGGATATAAAATATACCAGGTAATTCAAAGGTGGTAAACATCAATCAATATTCGTAAGATATTTAGAAGAATAAAGCCATCAGTTAGAGACTCAGTAAAGTAAACGGGAGCATTTCGCGCGTTGATATGAATTTCTCTTGCTGTGCCAGCAACCATGTCTTATTCTGCGTATTATCTCAAAATCTGATTAACACTCTAGACCTTTACGGACGAGAAACGTCGAATTTATGAACGAATGAAAAAAAGAAAAAAAGGATCCACAGTCCGCGAAAAAAATTCTTGGGTGATAAGGATCAAGATAATAAAATACACGTGCGTTATTGACCAAGCTTGTTCGGTCAAGACGGCTGGATATTGGCCGAGTTCCATTTTTGCGTTTTATGGAAAGAGACGAAGTTGAAGTCCATATTACCGCAGGAAAAAAAAAAAAAAAGAGACGAGGCTGATAGCCAGCCATCTTGAACGAACAAGATTACTCAATAAAGTATTTAATATTTAGCAAAAAGATTTCGCTTTAACAAGAATTAAGAATGACGTGTATTTCGAAAGCCGGAAAAGAAAGCCAACTGTGTTTGTAGCACAGTTTTGACTGTTTCTGCTGCTTTTTGGGACTTTGTTGCCGACATTTTCCTGAAGTTAGGAACTTTGAAAGTCCGCTCCACGCACTCTCTTGCGCGGCATCAAAGCGGGCAGTCTTGAGCTTAACATTCAAAAGGTATATGATAACTCTGTAGTCAACAATGAAGTGGATCGTACCATTGATATCTTAGGCCTTCGAAGTGCTGTTTTTGCCAACGTGTTTTATGAGTTCATGTGATTGAATCATTTGTAAGAATTTTCGCGTCATACGCAGGTCTGTATCAGTATATCGTGCGACCCTCGTCTCTTTTCGACTGTTTCGTAAAAATTTGGGCAACTTGCAGGAATATTTCGGGCAAGTGGTCACCGCCCCCGTGGATAAAAATTGCCCCTACGCCCACTAAATTACACAGTGTAACTAAACCTGAGGTACAATAAGAATATCCCACGAGTCATATGTGCTTTCTCAGTGTACAAAATAAGCTTTACGCCTTAAGGGATACCCATGGCTACACTTTGCCGTAGCGCAGTACTCATGATCACACCAGTGATCAACACACTCAAGCTGACATCCGCCTACACTTAATTGAAACTTGTTTGAAATAGCTTCTTGCAACGTTAATTTCTGAATTTAATCATTCTGAATACAAGTCAGGCCTATCATTAAAGGTTGTAGCCAAATGCTTTAAAGATTGAGTAAATGATACCACTTACTATCTTTTGTGTGAATAAGATCGCGAGATAGTTTCATTGTATAACTGTCGAATATGCAACAATCGAATATGCAAACAATCTTGTAATCTGATTAACTCTATTTTTTTATTTGCTAAAGAGGGTGATTGATATACTCGTATCGTTGCCCTACCTTTAGGCCGGCATATCACACCAGCGTCTTCATACTGTTCACAATTCTCAACTTCCCATCCACTGTGATTGCACTGTAATATTGATGTCTCATCTCCTACACAATTAATTTCGCTCAACCATATCTGACCAGCTCCATGTCCAAATGCTGCCCCCATCGGAGTTGATAAAGCTTCATCGTATCCAAGCTGGCGACAAACAACATCAGCGTCCTGTAGGTCCAATGAGTCGTCACAAATGGAACCCCATGTACCATTGTAAAACACTTCAACACGACCAGAAGACGGTGAATTGGTGGGGCTCACCAAACGAACTCTTGTCAATATGAGTATATGGATAAAATTTAGCTAGGTATATTTGGTAAGCGATTGGCTAGTGAATTGATGAGCAAAAAGCCAACATAACCATCGTAATTTAAATTTCATTATAACAGACTTGAATCAAATATAACAAGAATATGAAAAAACGAGAGAAAAAGGAAACGTTATGTTTATTCGAGGATATACGCTGTAAGAGTATCGCTGCCTTTAGCGACCAAAAATATACGGCCTATAACATTTTCCGTGGAAACTGTCCGTATGGCGAAATACGGACCAAGTAAGGACTTTACTGTTTCTGATTACATAAAGCCTGCCCTAGAGGGCTTAGTTGACTCCAACAAATTTGGTATCATATCTGGTTCTTCAACCGTGTTGACACTCATTAGTATGATTCATAAGTGGCTCGAAGCAACGGATGGTAACGGTGCTTCTGTGCGTGTCCTCCTCTTTGATTATCGAAAGGCCTTTTACATCAAAGACTACAATATTTTGGTCAACAAACTGAAGCAGGTCAATATTCCTAATAGTGTGATAAACTGGGTTATTGACTTCCTTTCAGGAAGATCTCAAAGAGTCAAACTTGGAAAGGACTGCCTTTCAGAGTGGGGCACAGTGCCGTCTGGAGTACCACAGGCTTTTTCTTTTGATGATTAATGACTTGACTGTTCCAGGTATTTTTAACATGTGGAAATATGTTGATGATTCTACGGTATCAGAGAGCATACCTAAATGTCAACAGGGCAAGTCACAAGAAGCAGTAGAAGCAATCTACGACTGGTCCAAGGAAAATTTTTTCCAGCTTAATGGCGAGAAAACTAAAGAATTAGTCATATCCTTCAGTCGTGATCCCCCCAACTCCCTAGGGTTTGCATAGACGGATCTCCTATCCAAACCACACAGAACACAAAGTTACTCAGTTTGACAATCAACGATACGTTGACGTGGAACGACCATATAGAAGAACTTGTTATGAAATCGTTTAAGAAACTGTACTTTCTTATTCAGCTTAAGCGTGCGCATGTTCCTACTTCAGATCTTGTAACATATGTTTGCGCATGTATTAGGTCTTCACTAGATTACGCTTGTCCTGTTTTCCATTACAGTTTACAAGGCATCTTTAAGTCGAACTTGAAAGTGTGCAAAGGAGGGCCCTCTCATGCTTTTTTCCCAGGGTGAACTACTAGGACGCCCTTCAGTTAGCAGGGCTCGAGTCCATCAGGCCCACCAGGAAAATTTAACAGAACATCTGTTTAAGTCTATTGTTAATGATCCACGTAGTAAGATTACCAGCCTCCTGCCTCCCTCCCTCAGTTTCTATTTCATATGAGCTGAGAAGGCAGAGGAGGTTTGCCACGCCTCTTGTAAAGACAAATAGATTTGGAAATTCATTCATTGTTAAGAGTGCGAGGGAAGCATTTAAGTGATTTT